TAAAAAGTACTTTAAACCGTATAAATAATGTAAAATTAAATTGATTTAAACAGCCAATCATACGAATATCTTCCTATTACTATAATCCACAACCATAACCATTATTATGACTAACTGATTACGTATTATGTATGCTTTTTTTGTGATAAATTGTTTTTTTATTGTTTTTGTGTAACAGTGTTAAACTTTACGTACCTACTGCGTGTACGTACTGTATGTACTTGCTGTTCCCTAATTCGAAAATAAATATGCATAAAGGTTATAAAGGTTCATCCATGATAAATCAGATGTTTGTATGTTTTAACTTACCGTTGACTTTAAATTTTATCCTTAAATAGAAAAATAGAATCTTACTTCAAAAACGTGCCATTGCAACTCCTATGGAAACCAACAATCAAAAAAACCTTCTCAAATCAAATTAACCTCCCCCGTCTTCCGATTCCGACATTGAAAGAAACAGCAGAACGTTATAAGAAATCTTTATTACCTCTTTTATCCACTTCGGATTATAATCGAGCAGCCAATGCCGTCGATGAATTTATGAAGGAAGGGGGTTTTGCTGAAGTTCTTCAAAAAAGATTATACGATGTTGATAAAAATGAAAAGGTAAAGAGATCAAATTCAATTATTTAATAAGTTATTATTGATTTAATAAACTTCTATATTTCTATTGTAGTACAATTGGATGGATACCATCTGTTTAAATAAAATTTATTTAGAAAAGAGAAACCTTTACTTATAAACGTTAATTGGTGGATCGAGTTCAATGATCCTGTTACCGGAATTTTAGAAAATCCTCCCCAAAAAGGTCAAATATCTGAATTTCAAATAGATAGAGCTGCTGGATTAGTGTCAAATATGTTGACATTTAATGATATGATTAACAAGTACGTTATATTTAGCACTTTATATTCATTTCGTTTATTAATTCTGATTTAATACATTTGCATTTGAACTGCAATTGAATAGTGAATTATTACCCCCGGAGAAGACACGTCACGGCCCATTGTGCATGGATCAATATACTAAACTATTTGGTGCTGCACGCATCGCTGATTTCCCCTCTGATCGTGTTATCACAACATGGCCTAAGACTGCTAAACATATTATTGTGATTTTTAAAGATCAAATTTTCAAAGTTCAGGTTTTAGGTACAGGAAATGAAAGGGTTCCTATTAAAGAAATCAAAAGGTTTATTTCCCCCTTTTTTTTATATTGTCTAGCATTTAAAATTTATGTTGGGTGTTGTATTGCACTTTAGGCAGCTCCGATCTGTGGCTGATCAAGTAAATAATACTACGAAATTGCAGCCTCCAATAGGTTTATTGACTGGTGAACACCGTAATACATGGGCAACAGTACTTTGTCGTTAATTATTAACCTCATCATGCAGACGGTGTTTTTGCTAAATTCATTTCTTTATCTTTCAGGCTCGCAAAAAGCTTGAATCTTCATCTGCAGAAAATAAGATCAGCTTTGATTTGAAATTTATTATAATTCAATTTCAATATATAACATATTTGTTAAAGACATTTAGTGAAACTAAAAACCATGATGTAAAAAGGTTCACATAAGCTCTTTAAAAAAAACAACCTTGAACTATTCTTTAACTTGACTGGTTTTTCTTAAGTGCATGTAATTTTATTTTGCTTTGCCTTGTTAAATCATTACACATCTACCATGGAACCATATTACGTAACATCTGAGAAATCAAAGTGACAATTTGTCACATTTTTCTTGTGAATTTCCCTGAGCTCACTACAATGTATATATATATAGCATGTATCTAAATTACAATATTTATAGCCTCCTTGAGTTTTGCAAGTGCCTAGTTTTGGATCAAAATAATTTAATCCATATAGATAAGTCTAAATTCAGCTTCATGCCTAATGATGCTTATTAACGTTGGTAATGTGTAATAAAAGAATAAAGGCAATATTCATTTAGATTTAAATGAGATAGAGGCATTCTTTAATGCTAATTCTACAAATTATTATCTATAAAAAAGCAAATTACGGATTTCATATGAAATGTTACTACCAATTTGGTTGCCATAAAGCCCTATGCAAGTTATAGTTGTGTTCTTGTAAAGAGACTTTATTAATGCTCTTCCTACTTCCGAACCAAACTGATTAGAGCCAAGATTAAGATTGGTTAAGGTGTGATTGTTACAAAGTGCTTCCGCAAATGCTTTTCCTCCCTCAAATCCGAGTTTATTTCCATCAATAAATAGACATTTCATAGTAGCGTTTTTACAAATTGCTTCTGCTAATGCTTTACCACCTTCAAAATTAAATTCATTTTCTCCACAATATAAGTCTATTAAAGTAGTATTTTTATGAAGAGCTCTTGCTAAAGCTTTTCCGACGTCAGAATTAAGTTGGTTTCTACTAATATCCAAAGAAGTTAAAGCATTATTTTTGCAAAGAGCCTCTGCAAGTGCTTTCCCTCCTTCAAAACAAAGCTGGTTTTCTCCAATACCCAAGTAAGTTAGAGTAGCGTTTTTACAAAGTGCTTCAGCTAATGCTTTTCCTCCTTCAGAACCAAGTCGATTGCCAGAGCAATGTAAGGAGGTTAAAGTAGTATTAATACGAAGAGCACCTGCTAACGCTTTTCCTACTACTTCATCAAAATTATTTTTACTAATATATAAAGAAGTTAAAGTGTTATTTTGACAAAGATTTTCTGCAAAGGCCTTTCCAACTTCAGAATTAAGTTGATTATACGAAAGGTCTAAAAATTTCAGAGCAGTATTCTTACGAAGTGCCTCAGCAATTGCTTTACCCCCTTCAAAATTAAGTCCGTTACGCCGAAGATCAAGATGAGTCAAAGTAGTATTAATATAAAGAGCCGTTGCTAATGCTTTTCCTCCTTCATGGCCTAAGAAATTATCTGAAAGATATAACTGGGATAAAGTAGTATTTTTATAAAGTGCCTCTGCTAATACTTTTCCGACTTCAGGGCCGAGACAATTTGCATTAAGACTTAATAAGGTTAGAGTGTTATTTTCATAAAGTGCTTTTGCTAGTACTTTCCCCCCTTCAAAATAAAGTTGATTGTTATAAAGATTCAAACTGTTTAATGTAGTATTTTTACAAAGAGCTGCCGCTAATGCCTCTCCTCCTCTGGAGCCTAACTGACAACTTGAAAGACACAAATCAGCTAGCTCAGTATTCTTATGAAGAGTTGTTGTTAGTGCTTTTAATTCTTCAGAATCAAGTTTATTAGATAATTCCAAGGAAGCCAGGGTTGTACATTTATTGAGAATATTTGTTGTTAAATTCACGTGTTTACCATAAATTGTTAAATGTTTAAGGTTCTTACTTGTTCGCAAAAACATTTCAATTAAAGAACATTTAATTGCCTGAAGTGCAAAACCACGATAAAATTTTTCAATTGCATAGGCTCTATCAATACTAATAGAAGTAGTATAGGATGTATATTCAAATAATAATTTTGAATCATTCGGAAGAGTTATATTAAAAGGTATTAATTGTGCTTGTTCTTCTGCGTTTAACGCCAAAAGACATGTTTTTACAAGTTTTTCATTTATAAAAATATTTAGATGATTCCATAATAGCGGTACAACATTTCTACACCATTGACGGTTTGTAAGGAGGCATGAAAATAAGGTGCTACGGTAATCTTTAAGATTATTAAAGATTTCGTATAAACATTCATTTGGCAATTCTATCATCTTGCAGCCTTAGAAGGATTAAAATTTCAATTACTGTGCAGTAAAGTACATAAAGAACACTTATATAACTTTCGGAAAACGATCGAATTTAGCCCCGTACAGCCTATCACCAAAACCTGCACATACGTATCTTAAATCTGATTGGTTAGCGTGATCATATTGTCAGGTTTTCACATCTGCTGAGATTACACAGCCACGATTGTTTTTTTCCTGCGATAATCAATTTTAAGGGTTCTATAAATTAGTTAGGCTAGCTGCACGTTGTAGGAGTGCGGATTTGGGTCACCGAGTCTCACATCAAATATTAAGGCTACTCGAAAGAAGGCGTGGAAGATTTGGAGGATCGGGACAGATGGCCTTTATTATTATGTTTTTATTTATGATCTATATACACTCTCTCCTCGTTTAGTTACATGAAATCAATGGACTTTATATATTAAAAACATCATTTGGACTTTACTACTGCGATTAAGATCTTACAAGCAATGTGGCTATTTAGAGTATCGGGGGATCTATGGCTAACGATAAGCAATTCATACACATTTACATAACAATGACTTTAGTTCCCACCATGCGAATTCCATAGACGCCTTATTATTGTTCTCAATGGAGCTTCGCCTCAAGCCAAACCCGAATTAGCATTATTAAATGCCTTCACCTTTGTCGATCAATGCGCATTTCGGGTCCCGAGTCATGTGGCTTGGATCACGTTTTCGGTAACTGCGGCCAGATCACATTACCTCGCTACAACGCTGAACCAGAGACATGGAATATTTAAGTATAACAATGATATATAATGAAGTGAGGTTTTTTAGTTGAAGTAAAATAGTTCAAGTTTGTTATGCGTTAAATTTATCAGATCTGGAGTCTCATATACGTGTCTTCAACCATATATTACACATAGCCAAATTGGTTAATAGTTTTTTTTTAATAACACTCAAACAATTTAGCGTCAATAATTTAAAAAAGTCTGTTAAAAGGTTATCCTCCAGTATACTTTACATTCTCTTTCACTACATTTTTGTTATATTCATTTACAATAATATAGTTTATTCAACGTTTTATACTGGGCTCATCAAAAAAACTATATAGGTCATCTAGCTGGTGGATCAGAGTTAGACCAACAAGAGAAAAATTAATTCACTACTTGGAATTTCCCAAATTATGACCAAATAACATCGGCTAGGTTTATGGTGCAGCAAAAATTCTTAAATGTTCATATATGTTAGAGTTAGGGTTAGAGTTACGGGTTAGAAGAACGTAATTTATATAGTAAAATTGCCCAATGAAAACGTTTTATTAGAGCACCAAAAGTGGTTTATTATCTATTATGTAGAATTTCGAGAAATAAGCGATTTTTGATAAAACGAACGTTTGTTTTGAATTTTCTCGATTGTGTTACGTTGCACCTGATCTTGAAATCTGATCCGTAGTTCAGTAAATCTGCGCCACAACCCAGCACACATTCAAGTTATCGTTATGTGGATTTAGTATATTTCAAATCAAGACAACGGATTTGCACAGTTCCAATTTTAGCATCATCTGATTTCAGTATCTCCCCTGACATTTATTAACACAGTTAAATAACGAATGAAAAAGGTAATCTATCGTTCCACAAAATTGAAAGTGTTTTATATAGTCCAATCCAAAAATAAGCTAAGCAGAAGTGCATAGTACTAACCAGGGATGGTAAATGACTTGAAATGACCTCAAAATGACAGGTCATATGGGGTGCCTCGTATTAAAAAGGCCCATTTTGGCATATAATTTATTTTGAGATAATTGAGTTTAAGGGTAGGGTGAACATAGATCATTTGTCATATGATCTCACGTGCTAAAAATTTTTTATACAAAAATTGAGTATATGCTACTAGTAAAAGTTTTTAAGGCCGCAACCAAACTTTACCAAAACTTCATAATATATAGATTAAAACCTTTACTTTATGATAATAAAAGTTTTAGCCCTTATATTATTTAAAAAAAATCCACCTCCATATATCGTTAAATTCTCCTAGGTCGATTGAAATTTGCCTAGGTAACACAAAAATTACTAATTCTTATTGGTCGGA